GATGCTCAGGGCTTACTCCTGGCTCTGTGCTCAGGATCAATTCTGGCAGAGCTCAGAGAAACCATGTATGTTTCATACCACTGTTGTCTGTGTACAAGCGAGCACCTTAACTCTTATACTATCTCTTCAACCCCATATTCGTTATTTTTTTAATTCGAGAATTTGGAGATAGGAGAGACCTCATTAAGCACTAATTCCACTAATTTTACTAAGAAGGCCATTTTAAGGCCTCACCATACTTTTTGCTATTCATTTAGATTAGGCATGTCTTGAGATAAAGCTAATGAGTTTGGAGAAAGCCCTCTCTAATTATTCTATTAAGGCCTATGATTAAAAGTATCACTTTAATCACAAACCCAAGAATTCTCAACCCCGTAGGAAATCTGGGTCTGCAAATATGACAAACTCAATTTGTCTCATATTTGCAGTTTCATTATTAACCTGCAAGTTAAAATAACTGTTTTCCAGTAAAGTACCCAAGGGTCATGTTATTTTCTTTTTCTTAATGAAGTTACACTGCATTAGAACATTATGGGCTTCAGATTTGCATCATTAAAAATCAATGAATGACATTAAGTTTGACACTAAAAAGTCCAATTCTACTGGGCCCATATCTCTAAAACTGAGGAAAAAAATATTAGGATTGGAACAAGGGAGGCAATGCAGGCTCAGGGGCACATGCCTCGCCTGAACAAGGCCCTGAGTTTTATTCCTAGTACCACATAGCCTGCGTCCAGCACTACCCGGTGTAGCCCTGAAGGTCCCTGGGCACCACTGGGTCAGAGTATTGAACCACCTGGGCCTGTTAGCTGAGTATCCCCGGAAATGACCTTTGAGCACTGCCTGAGAGCCACCTGCCAACAAAAGTAAAAGATTACAGACTTTCTGAAGGAAAATATACATTCTCCCTTGATTTCCACCATATCTATCTGCACTTCCAAAAAAAAAACCCAAACACTTCAAGAACCTTCTAACCTGCAGTAATGTGATAATTAAAATGAATTAGAACTAAGCTTCGGGGATTTCAGGTGGGCAGCAATATGATGTTTTAAAATAGAATTAGGAGTAAAGCATATGGGTGAGGCCCTTGTTTCAATACCAAGCACCACACACACTAAAAAAGGAAAAAAGAAGTCAGCGGAAGGAAGGAAGGAAGGAAGGAAGGAAGGAAGGAAGGAAGGAAGGAAGGAAGGAAGGAAGGAAGGAGGAAAGGAAGGAAGGAAGGAAGGAAGGAAGGAAGGAAGGAAGGAAGGAAGGAAGGAAGGAAGGAAGGAGGAAAGGAAGGAAGGAAGGAAGGAAGGAAGGAAGGAAGGAAGGAAGGAAGGAAGGAAGGAGGAAAGGAAGGAAGGAAGGAAGGAAGGAAGGAAGGAAGGAGGAAAGGAAGGAAGGAAGGAAGGAAGGAAGGAAGGAAGGAAGGAAGGAAGGAAGGAGGAAAGGAAGGAAGGAAGGAAGGAAGGAAGGAAGGAAGGAGGAAAGGAAGGAAGGAAGGAAGGAAGGAAGGAGGAAAGGAAGGAAGAAGGAAGGAAGGAAGGAAGGAAGGAAGGAAGGAAGGAAGGAAGGAAGGAGGAAAGAAAGGAAGGAAGGAGGAAAGAAAGGAAGGAAGGAAGGAAGGAAGGAAGGAAGGAAGGAAGGAAGGAAGGAAAGAAAGAGCAAAAATAAATAAATAAAACACCAATGGTTGATCACCTTATTCAAATCAGTTTCTACAAAGAAAGAAAATATTTCCTTAGAGCAGTATGCAAGATGGTGTTTCCAAGAACAGTTCATGGTCCTTTCACAGTTTCAAGTTGCAGATGGATGTCTCTAAAACTTAGCCACGCTGGGAAGAAACATCCTCAGTTGACTTCTTGGTTAGTTATTTCTTCTAACCAACAATAATGATAGTAATAGTACTTGCTAAACATGTGCTATAGACCAGATACTGCACTAAATTACCTGCATGAGTTATTTCTCTATTCTTACCAACCTCAGAAAGAGGAATTACTTTCTTTAAAAGCTCAGAGAAATTAAAGAACTGCCCCAGTTCCCCTAGCTACAAAGTGGTAGATCCGAGATTTAGCACAACTCGTCTGGTTCCAGATGAAAAGAAGAGCCACGCAGTGCACAGCACCTTCTGCTTAGACAGAGGCTCTTGAAAAGTCACACGCAGATTAGATTTTCCTCTGATCCCTCCCATATCAGAGGCGCCTGCTGCTCTGTGAGGGACTCATCTGCTTAAGTAGGCAGCTACAGACTCCTCTTCCTTCCCACAGCAGGAAGCAAATCCTCACACCATTGAACTTCAACTGCTGAGAAGACAGAGTTGTTGTACACTGCAAGTCGGTTCTGTTTTGTTTTGTTTTGTTTCTTGAGATTTCATAAACATCAGGATTTTCAGAGTCAGGAAGAATTTATAGGCATGCTTACAGTGTTCATCCCAGGATTAGCTTTGACACTTCCCAGACCCCAAAGCCACATTTCTTATCTCAGTGCCCACACCTTGCCTGTAGTGCCAGTGAGCGACCCATGACCACACAAGAGCTCAGCCCTGATTTCTCCCGAGAGCGATGGAAACCAACCCATAGACACACAAAGGGAATCTTTACTCCCTCTTCTTCCTGTGGCCCAGCCCACACCCAAAGGCAAAAACAAGGCTCTCCCAGCTCCAAAGACCTAGCAGAGCTCAGCAGGGGCCACACTCCTGAAAATGAGCCATACATTGCCAGCGTCTGCTTGTTCCAGTCAAAACAACATCCAGTCCAAAGGCAAGTGGCAACCTACTGAGAAAGAAACCCAACCAGGAACAGTCAAAGAGAGGTGATGGAAAGCTGCAGGAGGTGAAGAGCCATACTCCAGCCCCACACACCCCATCTCCATGGAGAGTGGCCACAAGGGCAACTTCCAGGGGGCAGGACCATCACATCACTCCAGGCAGCAAATACAGGAACCCACACCCAGATCCTGCCCAACCAATCCTCAGTGACAGTGTCTACACCCACCAAAGACATTTCAAAATTATACGTCCTCTCTGTTTAATTCAGCTACCATTTCAAACAAATTTTTGTTTCGTTTTGTTTTATAAACCTTATTGTTCCAAAGAATGATTCCACTGTTGTCAGGGTGACTTTTGAAATTTACTTTTTATTTCTTTATTTTGTTTTGAGGGCCACATCTGGAAGTGCCCAGAGCTTATTCCAGATTCTATGCTCAGTGATCACATGCAATAGGGTTTGGGGGATCATTTGGGATGCCAGGGATCAAATCTAGGTCAGCAAGACAAATGTCCTATCCATTGTACTATTGCTCCAGCTCCAAGGGTGATTTTTTTTAATTAAAAATTTTTTTAATAGTGAGACATCATGAGGTACAGTTGCAGACTTACACATTTTTGTGCTTGGATTTCAATTATACAATGATCAAATACCCATCCCTCCACCAGTGCCCATTTCCCACCACCGCGGATCCCGGTATCCCTCTCACCCCGCATCCCCCCATCCCACCCTGTCTCTGTGGCAGGGCATTCCCCTCTGTTCTCTCTCTCCTTTTGGGTGTTGTGGTTTGCAAAAGAGACATTGAGTGGCAATCGTGTTTGGTCTATAGTCTACTTTCAGCATGCTTCTCTCATCCTGGGAGGATCCTCCCAACACCTTTGTTTGGTGTTCTCCTCTTTATCTGAGCTCCCTTTTCCCCTAGTATGTGTGGTTGGCCTCCAGGTCATGGAGTAAAATTCCTGGTACTAATCTCGGCCATTCTTGGGTGTTAGTTTCCTATTTTGTTACTTTATGTTCAAGGGTGATTTATTTTTAAATACTAGCTGTCCCGCATGAACTTTGTTTGATATCTTTATTTTGCATCAGATTTAGGTTTTATTTTATGTGTTTTCTAATTTGTGATTCCATCATCTGAGACTCTCACAGGGAAGAATTTCTCATAGGTCAGACTAACACTAAGACCAACACTAACACCAGCACTGAGGAGATCACTGTGTACTCACTGATGTAGCACTGGCTCTGCAACAAGAGCTGCTATTCTTAAAGTTCCTCTTTTTATTCAAAACATAGAACTAAAACCACTGAAGAGTAGAGTAAGAAGGACCTCTCCAGTTGCTCAGTGAAGCCATGGGTGTAAAGGCACCATGAGGAAACTGAATCAGCATTGACCAGGACGGGGATCCAAGCTGTCCCTCTGATCCATCGCCTGCCTGCCTTGTCTTTTCTCTCCAAATTCATTGCTGATATCCTCTGCCCTAGGAGACTACTCCTGTCTCTAGAGGTGACTCTCTATGTGTGAGCAGAGACAAGTGACCGTCAGAGATGAGCACCAACCAGCCTCCAACAGGATGTCCAAGGCCACTCAGAGCTAGCTGCCTAATTTCCCAGCATCCCCAGTGCGTACCCTGGCGCCTGGCCTTTAGTCAGTTAGTGATTATGACTTCAGGAACTCCATCCCACCTCAGTGCAGGTGGAATAAAAGCTTCAGTCAATGCCCAGAGATATAGTACTTAGCACTCCTGACTGCTTTCTTGTTTTCGTCTTTCTCATCTCTATACATTAACTAAAATTTTCATTTCTGACTACATGTGAGAGCCACCTGGGGACTTTTGAAAAGTATCTTTGCCTGGCCTGATGCCCAGAAATCCTGACTCAATGAACTGCTGAGGGGGGGCTGAGCATAGGTGTTATCAAACAGGAATTCCACTGTGAAGTCTGAGCAGAGAACCACTGTATAACACTTTTCTATCCTTGACTCTCCCTCCAGTATTTTTACCCACAAAATAATTTCTTTGTTCTGTTTGTAAGCTTATTTTTTCATGTTCAGACAGACAGACAGACAGACACACACACACACACACACACACACACACACACACACACACACACCAAGATTTTGTATCTCTGTATGATCTGCCCCTGAAATATTATCCTATAAGGGATTTATTTTATTTTCTTCCAAACGACTCTCAAACAAAACAGACTCATCAGCCTCACTCCAACGTGAGGCACTGTAGAGTGTTTTCTTACCCAACAGAATGAGCAAAACACCAGCCAGCTGAGCCCGCCTGTACTTGGCCACACCAGGCTCATGGCCCATCCTGATGCAGGGGAGTACTGTCAGCAGCAGGAGAATGGCAGGCAGGCCCAGGACTGAGGCCGCAATCATCAGAGCTCGGCATGCCTGTACATAGCCTAGAAATGAGAGAGCAGAAAGGGTGTAAGATCTTGGATCTCCTGGGATTCTGAGACCAGTCTCACCAAAACTGGACGCCACTTGCCCTAGAATGTGTCTAGTGTCATCCAAGATCACTTCACATGTTCAACTTTTTGTTTTTTTTTTTTTTGCTTTTTGAGTCACACCCAGGGATGCATAGGGGTTACTCCTGGCTCATGCACTCAGGAATTACTCCAGACCATGCTCGGGGGACCATATGGGATTCTGGGAATCGAACCCAGGTCGGCTATGTGCAAGGCAAATGCCCTACCTGCTGTGCTATCGCTCCAGCCCTCATGTTCAACTCTTAAAATGGTTTAGTGACAGAAAGGAAAGTTGAGGTCTAGAGAGACCACATTGTCCTAATTGTCCAGGATGGTGAAACCAGGACTCCAGTTCCACTTATACATCACCTGTGAAATCACATTTTAACACATCACAATTTAAAACTCAAATCTTCCTAAAAGTCTTCTGTGATGGTTTGTGTTGGTTTCAGTGCACTTGGCCTGTGTGATCTTGAATAAGAGACTTTCTTCATCTATAGAGTGACAGTAGTATCTACATCTCATTAAGAAAATTCGGCACATATGCTGCCAGAGCCCATGTGCTGCTTGCGCCCGCGTGACTGAGCACATGTGGTGCCCAAGCACATATGTTGCCCGCATCTCCCCTCTTTTTTTTTTTTTTGCTTTTTGGGTCACACCTGGTGATGCTCAGGGGTTACTCCTGGCTCATGCACTCAGGAATTGCTCCTGGCGGTGCTCAGGGGACCATATGGGGTGCTGGGAATCGAACCTGTGTCGGTCATGTTGGCTGCGTGCAAGGCAAATGCCCTATCTGCTGTGCTATCGCTCCAGCCCCGCATCTCCCCTCTTGAGATGTGTATTTTGATGCTTTCGGGTCTAATGCTAGGATATGTGTAGGGCCTCTCTCCGCCCTTGGAGTAGCCCGTGTTCTCTCTTGAGTGCGTTCCTCTCTCTCACTCTCTCCCCCTTCACACCTTAAAAATCCTCCAATAAAATCTGTTTATTGAAAGAAAGAAAGAAAGAAAGAAAGAAAGAAAGCAAGAAAGAAAGAAAGAAAATTCAACTAAGATTAAGTTATCTAACTCATACAGGGCTGAGCAGAGTGTGTGGCACTGTACTCAAACAAAGTTAGCTGTTAGTGTGGGCATGACTACTCTATACAGAACTTTTATCTCTAAGTGGACAAAATGACTTTGTCTCTCAGCACAGGCTTTTAATTCACATGATGTAGCATGCGTGGCCCTCACTAAGACTCAAGTTTCTATCTTGATCCCTTTCTAGGCTGCTGTCCTCGTGAGTGCCTTGTGAGTCCAAGTTGTACCTCACACATAGGCCGCCCTTGCCTTTGGTCAGGGTTGTGAAGGCATACCTCCAGTTCTAGAGGTTCCTGGAGGGCAGACGCCTCCCTGGTCTTTATGTAGTTAATACAGTGCCAACAACACATGATGCAAACATGAAACTACAAATGAAGGAATGAGTGAGTGGAATAAGACTGGAGAAAAGCTATCTGAAGTTTACACAAATGAAGTGCCAACGAACAACTTTATTAAAAGACAGACTGTAGAACTGCAGGAGAGCTCAGTCACAGAGCACTAACTATGACATATGTGAGAATCTGGGTTCAATACCCACCACAGAAAAAAGTTATTTAAATTAAAATCATGACAATATATGCAATAAAACTAAATATGAGGGGCTGGAGAGATAGCACAGCAGGTAGGGTGTTTGCCTTGCACGCGACCAACCCGGGTTTGATTCCCAGCATCCCATATACCCCAAGCACCACCAGAAGTAATTCCTGAGTGCATGAGCCAGGAGTAACCCCTGTGCATCGCCAGGTATGACCCAAAAAGAAAAAAAAACTAAATATAGCAAGACATTGGAAGAAAATGATAGATGTACATCTACTCTTCTTATTTAAAAACCCCTTCCAAAAAAAAATAGCCATATTTTTCAATCTCCACTTTTTTTCCTCATTTGCTCAGAGTGAATGAGAACTTTGGGAATGAGTGGCTTGAGTGATGCAGAGTCAGCAGTCATGCAAAATCAAGCTCCAGTTTCTGCCACGGAGCCAGTACCCACAGATCACATCTGGCTGGGAGATTGGGCATCAAAACTCAACTGCAATAACATGTCGATCTAATATGCTCTGCCAGAATTCAGGCTCCATGAAGGCTTTTGGCTGCTTCAGAACTAAAACTAATCAATAATCCAGTTGATTAATCAACAGCAGTCAACAACAAACGAGTCTCCACATATTTGCAGAGTTTGGGAGAGTGGCATGTGGTAGCCTGAGGCAGGATGCAGGTTATGCTCCTCTGGCCTGTAGGTGGCCCAGGGCAGACACAGAGCTGGTGACCAACCAGCAACCGAGGCCCTGAGAGTCATGGCACAAGTTGTCTGGCTGTCTGAAAATGAAAATTTCTGTTCCTGTGTCCATCTAGAGTGTGAATAAGAAAAGAGAAGAAATGATCAAGCCATCCCTAAAAATGCAACCCATCTGGTCAATGATCTCCAAAAAGAGACTATGTGGTACCCAATAGTGAGCTCAATTGCAGGGAATGGAAGCAGAGAGTAATTTATGCTTGCATCAAAAGTTTCTAGGGGCTGGAACCATAGCACAGCGGGTAAGGCATTTGCCTTGCACAAAATCAACCCAGATTTGATTCCCAGCATCCCATATGGTCCCTGAAGCACTGCCAGGAGTAATTCCTGAGTGGAGAGCCATAGGTAACCCCTGAGCATCGCCAGATGTAAAACAAAAAGAAAAATAAAGTTTCTATATCTACCTCCTACCTTTTTTTTTCTTTTTGGGCCACACCCGGCGATGCACAGGGGTTCCTCCAGGCTCTGCACTCAGGAGTTACTCCTGGCGGTGCTCAGGGGAACCATATGGGATGCTGGGAATCGAACCTGGGTCAGCCGCGTGCAAGGCAAACGCCCTACCCATTGTGCTATCTCTCCAGCCCCTTTCCTAACTTTTATTTAAAAAAAAAAAAGCACAACATTTTATTTAAAAGGAAAAAAAACATAATACATAGTGCTGCCTTTTACAGATCATCTGTACAGAAAGAAAAATTTACATTTCTGTACCATTTAATCCCTAAAACGGCCCTGAGAGAGTATGCTATGACTTTTAACTTGTAGAAGACAACAACTGGGATTCATATTCATTAGTAACTTGTCCCAATTGATCCAGCTTGTACACTTGGATCTCAGAGTCTGACTGAGGTCTGGAGCACACATCAGAGAGACATGAAATGGGATCCAGAATGGTTTCTGGGAACCTGTTAATCTGAAAGTCTACAATTAAGAAAGATAGAATGACCATCAGGTCTGCCAGGCATCAAACACACCCCCCAGGTTCTAGTGGCAATGAAGGGCCCAGGCGAGGATGCAGACAGCAGAATCATTCTGTCTTCAAGAAATACGAAGTGGTTGGGCCAGAGCGATGCCACAGAGAGGCCTTGCACTCCGTGGACACAAGTTCCATCCCGAGCCTCCCAGAGGGTCCTCAGAGATAGCCAACAGTAATTCCTGAGTGCAGAGCCAGCAGAAACCCAATCACCGCAGTATTGTAGCCCAAAAGAAAAGAAAAAGAAAAGTAATATAGAGTGGGATAACTGGACTCATAATAAAGACATTGAAAAGTGCCTTGCTGGAAATGACAGTCTAAAGCGAGGGCAATGTGGATGGAAAGGGGATCGGTTGCAACCACAAGGATTAGAAAACAGAGACACTTGAGCCGAGGCTTAAAAAGAGAGTGGCGCATTCTGGAATGAAAGGAGGACTCATCTTGGGGGGGGAGGGGGGGTGAACACGAATCGACTGCTATGGGAATCTGAGGCAGCCTTCAAATGCGCAGAATCTGGGGCTGGATGGATAGCACAGCGGGGAGGGCGTTTGCCTTGCATGCGGCCAATCTGGGTTGATTCCCAGCATCCCAGATGCCCCCCCCACCCCGCCCCGAGCACCACCAGGAGGGATTCCTGAGTGCATCAACCAGGAGTAACCCCTGTGCATTGCCGGGTGTGACCCAAAAAGGAAAAAAATATGCGCAGGATCCACAAAGGCGAGATGGCACTGTTTAGATGGCAACAGTGTAAAAACCTGGGAACACAGATCAATCCTGCTGGTGGGAGTGACATTCAGAGAGAGCCCGAAGGGACGCCCATGACCTCTAGGATCGGGCTTAAATCTGAATTGAAACAGTTGCACAGAACCAGAGCAGACAGCTCAGATAGCTCAGGGTGGGGGGGAGGGGGCAGGCTTTGCCTGGCACCGAGCCCTCTGGAACACTGCTGAGTGTGACCCCAAAACAAACACAGAAAGAAATTCCTTTTTCAAAAAAGAGACTGTTCTCCAGAATCCTACAACAGGCCCGCAGAGGAAAGCCGGGGCTCTGGGAGTTGATTCTTCCCTGCCCGCCTCACTCCGCGCTGGAGGGATGGAGCCGGTCTCCCTCTCCAGGGGTGGGAACTGCACCTCGAAGGGGCGCCGGCTCTCCTCCGTCCGCCCTGAGTGATGGGGACCCGAGGTCGGGGATTGGGGAGTTATGCAGGCCAACGTCAGACGCCCCCGCTGCTGGTGGGGTGGAGTGGGGGTTAGGGGGTGGGAGAAGGCCCTGGCGCTCCGAACTGGGCTTGACGGAGAAAGTCCCAGGTTTGGTGGGACGCGCTCAGGGCTGCGCGCGGGTCTACCCTGCACCTTTCTACCGGGATCTAACGGGAAAGCAGGGCTGGGATGAAAAGCGCCCCTCATGGCCCAGGGTTCCCACCAAGCAGAGGTCTCGGTGCCTTAACGCGTCAGGGGACGGCCAGAAGCGGCTGCTGTCTCCAAAGGCAGACCAAACGGAGCGAGATGCCGTTCCGGACCGCCCAGTTGCTTCCCACGGGCACTGACCATGTCCACGTCCCCTGCCTCCTCGCCACTGTCCCCCCATCCGCGCCCCAACACACAGACAGACGCGCCCCCTTTTCCGCGCACGCCACCGATGCCCTGTCCCCGGCCTGCGCAGGGGCTCGGGGGTCTGGGGGCAGCCGGGGCGGGGGCAGGGGTCCTTACCCGGCAGGATGAGGATGTCCACCAGTGGCTTGCAGTGGTACAGCCCCGTGGCCATGACGCAGTCGGCCCACAGCCCCTTGGAGCCCAGTTCGTCCAGCTTGCGGCAGGTGGGGATGGTGTAGCCGCAGGTCACCACCCAGTCGTTGGTGGACGTGGTGACAATGATGCCGATCCAACCCACGAAGCTCGTCACGAAGCCCACGACCTGCAAGCACGTGGCCACCATCGTGGGAGCCCCTCGGCGCCTCCCCCCCCTTCGCTCGCTACCCCTGCCTGCGTCGGGGCTGCCCTGTGCCACCTCTCCCCGGCGCGACGGCCACGGGAAGCAGCTCCGGCGGCGGGACGGGCGGGCGCACGGCGGGGACGGAGCGCGGCTGGGCAGCGCGCCCCCGCCCCCCCTCCTTTAAAGGCCGCTGCCCCGGCCGGCGATCGCCAATGGGGATCGGACCCCGGCCGCGCCGGCCAATCGCGGCGCGAGGTCCCGAGTGGGCCGGGCGGGGGTCGGGGTGGGAGGGGGCGACCGCGCGGCTCGCGGGCCCCGAGTGGCGCAGTGTGAGTTGCAAGGACGGTTCTTGCATGCTTGAGCCGCGCGGTGAGAGTTGCAAGGACGATTCTTGCACGTTCGAGGCAAGGTGAGAGTTGCAAGGACGTTTCTTGCAGGTTCGAGTGCAAGAAGCCCAGCGCTCAGGGAGCGTCGACCGACGTGGGCGCGAGGGGTCCTGTGCTGAGAACCGTTTGCTCTCCGGCTGGCCGCCCCCAACGCGCCCAGGTTCGCGCCTCTCGCTCTGTCCCGCTTGTCGCTCAGCAACTCCTCCGCCTCCTCGCTCCTTCCCAGCGGCGAGAGGGGAGCGCGGGTACCCCCAGGACGCGCGGGCCAGTCAGTCCCTACAGTTCCTGGATGGTCACTGATAAGCTGAGCTGGGGTGAAGAGCGCCCCTCATGGCCCAGGGTTCCCACCAAACGGAGGTCTGATAAGCTGAGCGTTGCCCTAAGGAACCGTGCGATCGGTTCATTTACTGGTGGAAATGATGTGAGCCTTTCCCCGCGGCCGAAAAGGCACCAGGACCACCTGGGCGATGATGGGGTGTGTGGCAACGGCAGCAGCAGCAGCAGCGCGCCCTTTGTACCATGCCCTGCTCAATGCTCATGCGTTCATCGCATCTGCGTGGTATCACTTCACTCGCCCCGTCACCTTTGGGGGAAGAAACTGTGGTTCACACCTCAAACATGTGAGGAAACTGCAGGAGAGAGGCTAATTTGCATTAGTTCACACGACTAAGAATGGAGAGCCTGTTTAGTCCCTTTCACTAACTATTTCTGGGAACCTGTCCTCATCTGAAAATTCCCACATGGGCTCCAGTATCCCGCGTCAAAAATCTGGCAAACTGTCTCAGTTCACTGCAAGTTACCATCTGAACTTCAGTGAGAACACTGCTAGAGTGAGCCACTCTATGTGTGAGCAGTCATCAGCATCATTAAGCTCCCTTTTCTCTGTGCACTGAAAAAAGACCAATGGTAGGCATTATATATAAATATGTTTCGGGGATGGAGCAATAGCACAACGGATAGGGCGTTTGCCTTGCATGCAGCCGACCTGAGTTTGATTCCCAGCATCCCATATGTTCCCCTGAGCACCGCCAGGAGTAATTCTTGAGTGCAGAGCCAGGAATAACCCCTGTGCATTGCTGGGTGTGACCCAAAAAGCAAAAAAATAAATAAATAAACAAAATATGTTTGTGTATGACACAAGTCCTCTGGAACTATGTTTACACCGGTCTTAATGCTCTTTGAAGCATTTGACTATTTCCCTCTATCACTCACCAATCATGAGGTTGAAAGATGCAAAGTTTCAACAAGCCCAAAAACTTCCTACACAGCACTCCAATTCAAATCCATAAAGCACAGGCACGAAGCTTTCCCGTAGCTGTGCTGGGTTTCAGAGCGGGCCACTTCTTTGAGGAGAGTCCAAAGAAATCAAGTGCACACCCAGAAAGGGTTCTGCAACTGGAGAGCGTTTAGCACAGTGTTAAGATCTTGAGACCAGGCCTCGAGTCCTGACTGCACCAATTACTAGCCAAGGCACCTCCTGTTTCTGAGCTTGATTTCCACATAGGTAAAGTGGGGAGAATGTGGTGCTCAGGGTCAAAGTGGCTCTGTGGTTACATACATGTCTTGTGTGTATGAGATCCCCAACAAAGGGGCAGAGGCAATAAAAAAAAAAACTAACACAGGGAGTGGGATGGGTTTAAAAATAACACACGTGCGGCCAGAGTACAGCGGGTAGGGCGTTTGCCTTGAACGCAGCCGACCTGGGTTCGATCCCCAGCATCCCAGTTGGTCTCCCAAGTATCGCCAGGAGTAATTCCTGACTGCAGAGCCAGGAGTAACCCCTGAGCATCTTTGAGTGTGACCCAAAAAGAAAAAAAAAGCATGGGCCATGTTTTGTATTTGTGGGACCCCAGTTAGATCCCCAGCACTGCATGGCACTCTGGGTATCACCAGTATGATTCTGGTGGCCCTCCACGTTGTAGAGCCAGATTGGTGTCTAACCCTCAAATCCTAGCACTGAACCCTCTGGTTGGCTGTCACAGGGAGAGGATCCTGGCTGTCACAGGGAGAGGATCCTGAGCACTGTGTAAGAGGCCCTGCAAAAATCAAGGTCCACATAGAAAGATGGCATTCATCTGGGCAACATAAAGTAACAAAATAGGAGACTAACACCCAAGAATAGCCGAGATATGTACCAGGAGATTCACTCCATGGCGTTGGGGGCTAGCCGCACATGCTAGGGGAAAAGGAAGCTCAGATAGAGAAGGGAGCACCAACTAAAGGGTGTTGGGAGGATCCTCCCAGGATGAGAGATGCATGCTGAAAGTAGACTATAGACTTAACATGATTGCCACTCAATGCCTCTTTTGCAAACTACAAAAGGAGAGAGAGAACAAAAGAGGCAGGGTGGGATGGGGGAGATGGGGGGTGGGAGGGATACTGGGATCAGTGGTGGTGGGAAATGGGCACTGGTGGAGGGATTGGTACTCGATCATTGTATAACTGAAAGCCAAGTACAAAAATTTGTAAGTCTACAACTGTACCTCATGGTGTTTCACTAATAAAAATTAATAAATAAATAAGTGTCCACCTCAGAGGTTTCTTTGGTTTGGTTTTGGGGTGGGGGTACACCCAGAGGTGCCTCAGGCTCACTCATGGCTCTGTGTTCAGGGATCAGTCCTGGCTGTGCTCCAACCTGCCGCACCATCTCTCCAGCCCAACCTCAGAGGTTTCTTGAGAGTTTTGTTAATAAAAGAGAACATTGTCTGTTGCAGTAAGGGCTCTCAATACACCTGAGTTATTGCTAAGGAATTTAAAATCAGGCTTTTACATTCTCATTTATTCTCTGTGTGTTTACATAAGATTGACTTAGGTAAATAATTTTATAGTAATATGTCACTTTTTTATTGAGCTGCTTCATTTGACAGCATTTTACCAGAAGATCTACTGATCTTTCTAATGTTCTGATATCTCCTTACAGTGGCAACAAAAAGCTTTGTTACTAAGGGTGTAGCATAGAGGCAGATTACATATGTTGCTTATATGAGGCTCTGAGTTTGATCTCCAACACCAGAACAAAACTTAAAATAATGTTTGTATTAAATACAATATAAAATATAAAACCCAAGCAACATTAATTCATTTGGAATCTGTACTCTTTTGATTCTATTTTGCATTTGACATTATAAGTATAAAAATTCAAATCATTTTAATTCAGACATGCCCAGGTCAGACATACGAAAGTATTTGACAAGTCAGATTTCTGAACTCAAGAACGAACTGACAGAATCCAGTTAATAACTTAACTTCGGCTGTATTATCCCATTCAAAATTTTTGAATTCCTGGATTAACATCTCAAATTCTACACCACTGTTAAACCACACTGGATGGAATGCGAAGTAGAAGATAACCAATCTTGATTAAGAAAATAGAAACACACAAGGCTTTACTGGTAACATGTTAGTAATCTCTTCTATAAGGGTTTAATGGCTCCATGGTGAAATACAACAATATTCACACATCTTCTTTTAAGGAAATGTTTTTTAAGCAAATTATAACAAGAAATATAAAATAATCAATTCAGGGTCTTTTCTAGGGGCAGGCTTGAGAATTGGCTGAGAAAATTGGAAATAATGGTGGTGAGAAGGTGTTGGAATATTGAATGTGATAATAAATCATGAACAACTTTCTAAAAATGTAAATAAATAAATAAGAACTAAATGGTAGAATGCGTTGTAAAGTTCAGCTACAGGCATAGAAACTCCTGAGTTCATATTCTGCTTTCATCACTGACTTTCCCTTAACAGACATGTCTCTCCAGCTCTTCTTCCATCACATGAGAATAGGAGCTTCCCCAGGCAGGCAGTGTGTGAATTAAATTAGATAACTTATTTAAAGTGCATAGCCCAACACCCAGCACAACCAGCACAATACATAGCTTCTGGTAGAATTAATAGGAAGTATTGATCAATTAGAAATATGAGTTGCCTCTGATCAATATCAAAGCTAAAATAATTAGATGTAAAATAATTGGGAGAGGAGTGGTAACCTGAATGTTTGAAAAATCACAGCTCAGATAAATGATGGACTCTGTCCAATGGTGGCAGAACAGGACTTCTTAAACAAATTCTCCATCAATACAGGGAGTTTCCACTGTGTGTATTGACGAGGGGTGGGGGACGCGGGAGCGGGGGAAGGTAGCCTGCTAGGGGAGCATAGAGAATTGGGAGCCAAGGGACAGACTGAGAATCTTCTGCCATTCAAAAGAGATCATAGAGGGGCTGGAGCGATAGCACAGCGGGTAGGGCATTTGCCTTGCATGCGGCCCACCCGGGTTCAATTCCCAGCATCCCATATGGTTCCCGAGTACCGCCAGGAGTAATTCCTGAGTGCAGAGCCAGGAGTAACCCCTTGTGCATCGCCGGGTATGACCCAAAAAGCAAAAAAAAAAAAAAAAAAAAAAAAGAGAGAGAGAGATAAGGAGCTGGTTCCTTTGGTGAGGCTCTCTGTAAAATGCAGGTACTCATCCCTTTTCTGAGGGATAAGGTTTTATTTTCCTAAAATCAACCTCTTTAATCCTTGACTGTAGTCTACTTACTGAGTCCTTTTACCACTCAAAATTTGGCATAACTTAATAAACTGGCATCTAGATCTACACAATCCCTGGGAGAGTCTCTTAGGA